ACGGAGGCAACAGGCAACGACCTAGGGGCCAGGCTCTCTTTACAGCACGTTTGTTCGTCCCTCTGACTCCACCATGTGCCTTACCTTCTGGTACCACATGTATGGCAGCTCGATGGGCACGTTAAACATGTACATAGAGATGGACCAGGCCTTACCCTCGGTGCCTATGTGGACAAAGTCGGGCGATCAGGGAGACGAGTGGCACATGGTGGAACTCCAGATAGACATCGTAGCGGAGTACAGGGTACATATTGTTTGTTTCTTTGTTTGTTTGTTTGTTTGTTTGTTTGTTTGTTTTGCATAACCTGTAAACCACATTTAAGCGTAGCATACCCGTTTTGTACAGTAAGTACAAGCTACGTTAGACCGGACTGGAAGGCTTTTAAGCTCCAAGCAGATCTTTCGGTCGACGCAAAGACAGTATCAATTTGAAATTTCCCAGACATTATCCATTGGTTTGACAGTATCCATTGGCCAATGGATACTCCCTGGCCAATTTGATACTGTCTTTGCGGCCACCAATGTTCTATGACAGAACCGAAGCTTTTTTTTTTCAAAATCAACAGATTGTTTTTGTTTAAATCAACAGCCAGTAGAATATACACAGTGTCTAAATCATATCGATGTCAGTTTGTTGACTACCCAAAATGTCGGATTTACCAATGGTAGTAAATGTCAGTAAAATCAGGTAATATGTACTTTGTGAACTAGACAATGGTAGATACTGTTTTTTCAAAGTAAACTTTGCCTGCCTTTACTGGCATTTACTGCCATCGGTAAATCCAACGTTTCGTGCAGTGAAACGTTATTATATTATCCTATACTAAACCATACCTGTATCCCGCTGTTATAGGTGGTTTTTGAGGGTATTATAGGGACGTCCTTCTACAGTGACATCGCGCTGGACGACATCACATTTGTACCTGGGCTGTGCTCCTCACGTGAGTCATTTGTTGTTGTTGTTGCTGTTTGTCATCAGTATTAAGCTCCGTTCTTTTCATAGAAACATCTGCTAAATACCTGTATACAGAGGGCATAAGATTTGTTGGTGAAAATTCTTGAGTTCATCGATGTATTTTAAGTAAGCAAAATTGAATACCGAAGTCAAGTAGACTGCTTTTACGTCGATGAAGGTTAGACATCCAGGTAATACGATCCGCCAAAAAGCAGTTACTCAAGCAACTGGATATGATTTTAAAAA